TGTTTGGCAAACTTAATCACATAGGAGCATTAGAGTTACTGAAATGTAATGTTCAGCTTAATTTCAGTTTGAGTAGGCAGTTCTTTCTTAAACTCTTCACTTATCTTGGGAGTCTCATCAGTGCTGATGGCCTGGTGACTGATGAAATCTCAGCATGGATACAGAAGGCTCGATTAGCTTTCGCCCACTTGCGTCACTTATGGCGTAGACGAGATATCAGTTCGCTGACTAAAGGACGAGTGTACTGCGCAGTAGTTCGCTCCGTCTTACTTTACGGCTGTGAAACATGGCCAGTGAGAGTAGAAGATATTCGCCGGTTATTGGTTTTCGATCATAGGTGTCTTCGAAGCATTGTTCGTATATCCTGCGTCACCCGAGTGAGCAACGCTGTCATTAGGAATCGGGTGCTAGGTAAGAATGGCAAATCAATAGATGAAGTAATGAAACTTCATCAGTTGAGGTGGTTGGGACATGTGTTGCGTATGCTTAACCACCGACTGCCTCGTCGAGCCTTGTTTGGTAGTGTAGGAATAGGTTGGAAGAAAGTTAGGGGGGCGGCCAAACCAAAACATGGCAGAAATCCATGAAGTCACTGACTAGTGGACTTCGCCATGTCGGTAGTTGTCGACTACCTGGTTGGGGTCCGCGAGATGATAATAATCGATGGTTAGAGACCTTGAATGACATGGCTCAAAATCGTTCTTAATGGCGCCGGTGCATTTATTCTCTGTGTTCTCTCAAATCCTAATCTTCTGGATTCTTCAACACCTCTAGTTCTGACTTTCTAAACTTTTCTCACTGAATCATATTTCTTGAATATTTTCTTATCTTAACCTCTTCGATTACTTCTAATACCTTTACTTCCTCTACTACTATTGGATTTGAATTGACAATTACATCTCTGTGCTGATGTGGTATGGCAACATGAACTGATGTACTTACGTACAAAGTTCTACGTTGCATCTGACTGATTGACTCTTAAACTAGTTCCTTATAGTGATTTTGGAATATCAAGTTGTTTCAAATATTATGATTAGCCTCGGTTCATATATATATATATATATATATATATATATATATATATATTACATCAAGTTGGGTTGCAAGAAATGTCAGATACTCACTAGTGCATACAAACCATAAGAAACAAATAAATGCATGTGAACTGTAGTGACAAAAATCAACAATTCACTGAATGAGGAGTGACTCAGCACATACGAGCGTGGGAGTGATATAAACAAGTAAATGGATACATATGTAACTATGCTGTTCAAGGTCACGTGATGGACGAGTGACAAAAAATATTAAAATAATTTGTCCATCTGAAGGGGATTTTGGAATAAATTACGTAGGAGTATAACAATACTGATTGCTATAACACTATCAGTTTGTGAAATCACTGACCGTTGATTTATGTAGCGTGTTAATGCTTAGTATGTATGATCAGGATTTTCAAGTTATTGAAAATTAGCAATCGAACGTTTTCAAAAGAGATACAATGAACCTATCCATCTCTTATCTTCGAAATTTCTCCGTTTACTTTTATTCCTACCCATATGTTCCATTCTTCCACTGCTCTTGAGTTTCTGTATTTATACTTCTGTTATATATTACATTTTCCTATTTCTTAATTTTTGTGCGTGTTTGTTGTCTATTTATGCCTATATTGCATTGTCTACATCCTGTACGTTAGTCACTTTAAATAGAATCCTATTAAATATCAACTGAATTCATTATTCCATCTGCATAATAATAAGACTTAAGTAATCAATAATCGTTACATGATTCAGTTGATATTGATTAAAACAAATTGATAGATTCAAATAAATGTAACTAGAATTGCTGAAGAATACTAATACACGAGATAGTTAATACTATTTCCTTTGTATTCAGAGAAAAGTTCTCGAATAGAACTGTGAACGGAAACAATCAGTTGATAGTAGACTAGAGACAGTCTGCTAATAATGTGGTATGGCAACATGAACTTATGTACATACGTACGAAGTTTAAATGTATCAACTAATTATTATACACAAAGTACCATGATGCTGCAGGTGCTAATATAAACCACAGGTTAGGATATTGCTCCACTTGCTTCTTTTTATGGAGACCTCTAAAAATCACCCGCTTCTTACGCATATTATTATGGTATGACAACTTAGACCAATGTACACTTGTGTCAGGTTCTACGTTGGGTTTGATTGATTTTAGTTCGAAGTCGAGTAAACCAATTTTTACACCTGGTGAATGAGTTATGATAGTAATAATAATCATAACAATCGTAGTGTAAGAATGTTTACTAGATAAATGCCACCAAAGCGGATTGTGTATTTTCAGCTACCATTGATGTCCGTTTGGTAAAAAACAACTATGTATCGAACTCATTTTCTCAAAATACCCTTAATGTATCCGAAGCACAAATTCAGTTTCGTCTACTATTTTATTTTATCCTTTATTTTTATCATTTGAATATTTGATAGAGACTTTTAGATAAAAAAAACCAGTCTCTTCATCTTCAATAGTAGATTCGATTCAATAGACCTTGCCTAAATTCTGATACTACGCTAACTGATTTCGAAAAGATAGTGCCCTTTCCGCTTGTTGTGACAGTCTATTCGGATAAAGATAGTGCTTTATTCTTTACAATTGTATACAACTTTCTTGGCGTGTTTTGGTCTCAACTGGATGACTTGGTCGTGAAGCTTGGATTATCTTCCTAGTTAACGCATATTCCGAAAAAGTAATGAGACACAAGAATCTCTTTGCGATATTAGCTAAAAGCGTTTCCGGTTGATTTGAAAATTGGTTGGTTGTCGACTATAGTTGTGTTGCCATAGCATCCTCGTCCTGGTTTTCATTGTTGACCATCATCCTTTCTTTTAATTGGCTAACAAATTGAGTAGTTTACATTATTTTCATGCTATTGATGCTTTGCCTGAATGTCAAGCTTTTAAAAATTCCTTGGCTTTCTTTGTTATTATCTTTCAGTCCAACATTTCGACATTTTTTAAGTCCAACTCATACCCTATGCTTCTCCACATTATTAATTTAAGCGAAGCTAAATTATGACATTAATGCTGACTTGGACACAGGCTACTTTACACCATGTAGTGCTTCTTTCATTTGAAGTTCGGTTTGCTTTCTTTTGTTATTTTTGTCTTTTGGTTTACGTAATATTGATTGCAAAGATTTTGTATGCTTTAGGAGTAAACCTATATCCATGGTACTCATTAATAATCTTTTTATGATCTTGATTTATTTTTTTAAAGCGTACAGCAAAAAATTTGTTTGTTTACCAATATGTATCTGTTATACCAGTCAGAGTAGAAGATATTCGTAGGTTACTGGTTTTCAGTCATAAGTGTCTCCGAAGCATTGCTCGTGTATCATAGGACAACCGAGTAAGGAATGTTGTAGCCAGGAAACGAGTGCTAGGTAAAGATGGCAGGTCAATTGATGAAGTGGTGAAACTTCATCAGTTGAGGTAGTTGGCACATGTGTTACGTATGCGTAACCACCGACTACCTCAACGAGCTATGTTTTGTGGTGTAGGAGTAGGTTGGAAGTAAGGTAGGGGCAGGCAGACCAAAACATGGCAGAAATCCATGAAGTCACTAACAAGTGGACTGTCATGTCGGTAAGTGTCTACTCCTGGCTGGGGCCGGCGAGATGACAGTTATCGATGGTTAGAGACCCTGAATGACATGGCTCAAAACCGTTTGGAATGCCGCAGGTGCGTTCATCCTTTGTGTTCTCTCAATTTCTAATCTTCTGAATTCATCATCACCTTTATCTTTTTCTTCTTAAGTTTATTTCACTAGATCCTAATTGTTGAATAATATCTTCAAACTTTAATCTCCCCGATTACTGCTACTACTTCTACCACCTCTACTACTATAGGATTTGAAATGACCATTGCATCTCTGTGCTGATGTGGTATGGCAACATGAACTGATGTACGTACGTACGTACATTTTTGTATTTCCTTTCATTCTTCTATGTAATGGGATTGCTTCTATATTCCTCCATTCTTTTTGAACGGGGTTTTTACACAGCCTAATTTATGAGTCAATGGATTCTTGTTTTAATTGAATATTTAATCATTATGCTTCGGTTTCTGATATAGTTAAGCTAAAAGCTTTATCGAAATGATTTTTTGTGATCAACAAGGCATTGTAAAAAAGTGGTTTGTTGTTACACGATTCCTTTTTTCTTATTATTGTTAGTTTCTCCTGTCATCCAAAGATGCTATTGATCAAATTGTAAACCCTTTCCAGTTGGTAATTTTCAATGAATACATACGATACCAAAACTTTTTACGTACTAAGGCTAAAGTTTCCAAACTGTACATTGATTGTTTCGTGTCTCTGCCATTCATCTTGATATTCATGATGTATTAGGATATTCACCAAATATCCTAAGAGTACTATTTTTGGAAGTATAATCCTATTGGTCAAAAATATGGTCGTTTTAACTGTCAAAATCAAATACTTCAATCTTGTCTCTGATTGGTCATCCGGACTGTCAATGTCATTTCAAATGTTCTTTCCTATTGGTCGTCGTCCTAAACTGTCAATGCCCATAGACTTTGATGCTCTTTCCTATTCGACTTAAATGTATAAATACGCACTATCTGTAAGACTTCATGTTTCCCCGTTCCTTCCTGCCTACCTCTCTTCTGTGCTCGACCCAATAAACAACTCCATCCAACGGTGTTGCGTTCTAATATATAGGAGAGATTTGGTAATAGTAATTGGGTCGTATTGGAATATTTGAATTCATACGTCGGTAGGATTTGAATAGCTACGTAGCAGCATTATAACATGATGGTAGTGAATGAAGTGCCCTTTTTTTGTCTGGTTGCGTTATTTTGCCAATGGATTTAAACTGCTTTGTTAGACACATTGTCCTTATAACCGAATTTCTTGAAGCGTTGACACTGTTTATAGTCTTCAAATCATAAAATAAATAAATAATTTTTGTCTTTTTTTTTTTTACAGGATCATTATTAGATGTGATCAAGTATACACAAAATAAACGAGATATTACTTATGGTGTATTTGATGAGAATACAATTGCTACTATTCTACGTGATGTCTTACGTGGATTAGCATATATACATGAAAATGGTCTAGTTCATCGGTAAGTGTTTCTAATCAATACTAATCTGCTTACCTATCTATCTATCTATCTATCTATTAATTATCACATCCCACATTCATCTTAAATAAAAAAATTATTCTTAAAAAGAAAGAAGAATATCAGAATTAACTCATTTTTATAGTTTCCTCCAACGAATAATTTATTCATATATATGTATATGGTTTGTTTGTTTGAGCCAACTAACTAACTACTTTGCACTTCCTAATTTTTCTACAAAATATTTGACTTTCTATTGTTTAGCTAATTTACATTATCCTAGTGTGAATTTCAATAAATTCTATCTGAATTCAAAATTTCATTTTGTTTCAAAATTCATTTCGATGAATAAATTAATTATCTGTTGAAATTTTGAACCTTATTCAATCGACTTTTTGGTTTAAAAATCTGATTAGAGTGTCATGTCACATTAGTTCTCGCATAAACAGTTTGACATTACTACTCCACGAAGTTAGTAATGACTAATGATTTGGGAGTCTCATCAGTGCTGTTGACCTGGTGTCTGATGAAATCTCAGCACGGATACAGAAGGCTCGACTAGCTTTCGCAAGCTTGCGTCACTTATGGCGTAGGTGAGATGTCCGTATGCCAACCAAAGGACGGGTTTAGTGTGGAGCAGTTGGCTCAGTCTTACTTTATGGCTGTGAGACGTGACCAGTAAGAGTAAAGTATATTGATAGGCTACTTGTATTCGATCATCGGTGCCTTGGAAGCATTGCCCGTGTATCCTAGGATCACTGAGTAAGAAATGCTGTTGTTAGGAAACAGGCACTAGGTAAGGATAAATCAATTGATGAAGTAGTGAAACTTCATCAGTTGAGGTGGTCGAGACATGTCCTACGTATACCCAACCACCTACTGCCCTGACGAGAGATATTTTGTGATGTGGGGATAGGTTGGAAGTAAGCTAGGAACGGCCAAACTAAAACATGGCACAAATGCATGAAGTCGCTGACAAGTGAACTGATTACTCCTGGTAGACTATCTGGTTGGGGTCCGCTAGATGATAGTAACTGATGGTTAGAGACTTTGACTAACATGGTTCAAAACCGTTTGTAATGGCTCAGGTGCATCCTTTTCTTTTACTTCTCTCAAGTCTTTCTCTTTTTAAACTTATTTCATTAGATTCTACTTCTTGAATAATATCTTCGAACCCTAATCTTCTCCATTACCGTTAATACTTCTACTATCTCTACCACTATGGGATTTGAACTGACAATTGCATCTCTCTGTGCTAATGTGGTATGGTAACTTGAAATGATGTACTTACGTACGAAGTTCTACGTTGTAACTGACTGACTGACTGATGGTCTAAGATATGCTTGTGGATACAGCCTACTTATTTCAAGTCCACGTGATAATCTTTAGTAGCGATAAACACTTTGAGTGACATGGCTTAGATTTGTATTAGCAGAGCAAACAAATTCACCATTTATTTTAATCTAGATATTGAGTCCTCATATTTCTTCACGTATACTTTTTCATTCCATTTTTTCAAGTAATATTCTTAGTGTTTGTTTACTAGTCCCTCTGATACCATTTAGAAAATGCGTTCCCACAGAATAGGCAAATATCATCCTCAATTGTGTGAAACATTTAGTTGAAACCGGTCATCAAGTTAACCTTTGTAGTGTTATACAAAAGTGTTTAAGGGCGTATACACTACGTAAGGCTTTTACACATTTGAAATCATCAATCAATCATTGTTAGAACACCATTAGAAACCTGGGAGCACTGGACGGTCACCTCGTTCTGGTATGGTACTTGTTAGTGGCAGTGCGCATTCACGACTCGCGCTACTCGCAGGATTCGAACCCGGGACCTTTGGCATTGTAGGCGAACGCCTTACCATCGGACCACTGGGCCGGCATCCAACGGTGTTAATGTTTAACTCTGATTGATCTCGGGATTTCGCGCGACCTCACCCGTTGGTCTTTGGTAGTTACTGCCTACACCCGACAGGGTTGAACTCCACTGGTCACGTCTTCTCAACTAGAACTCCGAGAATTTCCTCACGAAGCTAGTCACTAGTGAGCACTGTTACGATATTTTGGGGTCCCATACTAGGACGAAACGGCCGTCTTTCAGTGCTTCCAGGTTTCTAATGGTGGTCTAACAATGATTGATTGATAATTTCAAATGTGTAAAAACGCAAACCTCCAAAACTGTGCCCCAAAATATGTAAGGTTTATTGAATTCTTGAAGCTAATAAAAAAAGAAAGTGAAAACCCCTTTTTTATTTATTTAAAAACAATTTGTTCTTATCCTTAACCTACATTGATAATACTGATTTTTTTTTGTTGCTATCTATTTATCTAAAATGATCTTCACATTGTGTACTTTATGGATGATCTTTGTTTTCACCTCTTAACCTTCTGATTTGTCTAGTTGACCTTTGTATACATTTTTCATGTGTGTGTGTGTGTGTGTGTGTGTACGTGTGACCAGATTGTTCGAAATGTACTGCATAAATTTATCGATCACACATAATTTTGAAATAACCTTCATCTTCTCATTGCATTATCCGAGAGTGTAGAAAATGACGAAGTGCCAGTGTGAGTAGATTATTCAATGATAAATGTACATTTAAATAAAGTGAAAAAAGATCAATATATTAGCAAAATAAAATGAATTCATCACTCGTGGTGACTAGTTTCATGAGGAAATTGTCGGAGTTCTAGTGAGAACACGTGACCACTGTGGAGTTCAACCCTGTCGGGTGTTGGTAGTAATTACCGAAAACAAATTGGTGAGATCGCAAAAAATCTCTAAATTTATCAGAGTTAGACATTAACACCGTTGGATGCCGGCTAGCTCAATGGTCCAGAGGTCGTGCATTCGCGCACAAGACCTAAGGTCCTGGGTTCGAATCCCGCGAGTAGCGCGAGTCGTGAATGCGCACTGCCACTAACAAGTACCATGCCAGAATGAGGTGACCGTCCAGTGCTCCCAGGTTTCTTATGGTGGTCTAACAATGACTGATTCATATTTCTATGTGTGGATTCATCATGTTTTTATGGTTTCTTATCATCTACAAACAGCTTACATTTAGATGAGTGACTGTCATTATAAATATCATAGAATAAAAGGTGTGAAATAACATTAAGTTTCAGGAAATTACGGACAAATACACACACATACACATGGATGTGTTTTCTAATACTTTATTGAATAAATGGTTTAAGTTAGTCGAGCGGGAAACCTTGCACTAATAAAGTCTCCTTTTACTAGTTCTAACACTCATCAACAAGGTTTTTGTGTACTTTCAGTCTTGATAGAATTGATGCCACCCCCAGTATGAGATTCAAAGCCATTTGTCACATTTTTAGTTGTTGTCACTGGATTTTATGAACCGTAATTGACCTCCTTTAGTACTGAAATATATTTATTCCTTAACCAACTACTTCAAAAACCACCATGCAGGCAATAAAGTGTCTACGTGGCGTCAGTAGTTGTTACGTGTCAACTTCGATAAGCACCAAAGACATGATTGGTCGCTCACTCACTCAGTACTCAGTGATCTATCGATTGTATTTGTTAATGCTTCTTGGTGTGCATAGATTATTCAGCCGATGAACTATGAATTAATTCCTTTTGTTCTTAAAATATATACTATGATTAATGAAAACGATTAAGTCATGAATGATAGATAATAAATAATGATATTTCATTAGAAGAATGATTGAGTGATATTATTTCAGTGAAGCTTATAGATAGTGTAGGTTTAGGCTAGAAGAAAGTTAGGGGCGACCAGACTAAAACATGGCACAAATCCATGAAGTCACTGAAAAGTGGACTCAGTCATGTTGGTAGATGCAGGCTACCTGGTTGGGGTCCGCGAGACGAGTCGTCGATGGTTAGAGTCTTTAAATGACATGGCTCAAAATCGTTTTCAGTGGTGCCGGTGCATCCACTCTTTGTGTTCTCTTAAATCCTGATCTTCTGGATTCGTCAGCCCCTCTACCTTTGTTTTTTTAAACTTACGTCACTGAATTTTACTTCTTGAATAACAACTGCAAATCCTAATCTCCATTACTGCTAATACTTCTACTATCTCTCCCACTTTGGGATCTGAATTGACAATGGCGTCTCTGTGCCAATGCCGTATGGCAACCTGAACTCATGTACTTACGTACAAAGTTCCACGTTGTAACTGACTGTAACCCATTCTATATTGTACGGGTGTTAAACACGGCCACTAAGAATAGAAGATATGCGAAGGTTACGAGTTGTAAACGCTGGATGACATGGTTTAGAATCGTTTGCAATGGCGTAGGTGCATCCATTCCTCGTTACCTTCCAAATTTCAAGCTTCAGAATTCCTTATAACCTTTCTTCTCTTCTTCCTAAATTCATTTGACTGGTTCGTATTTCCTCGATTCATATCTTCGACCATTAATCTTTTCCATTACTGCTAATACTGCTATGATATTTTGTCTGACAATTCCACCCACCTCTCTATGTTGATGCATGAAAATTTGAATTGGTGTGTGTACGTACCAAGTTATACGTTGTAATTGACTGTCTGACTGACTCTTCTCTCTCTGGTAGTAACATGTAGGTGACGCGCTCCGCGACACACTATTTACAAAGCACTTTATGAGTAGCGTTGACCACACTGGGAGTCGAGTTCAAATTTTAAAAAAATGTAAACCATTGAATGATCGCTTCATGACATGAATGTACTAGATTCAGTCTATGGTACTGGTCCAATTCGTTCACTACCAAGAAGTTTCACAACTATCCAATGGTTCCTAGTTTCCGATCGTTATCCAACAAAATTCAGTCTATATTAATGTAAACACAATAAACCGTAAACAAGAATCGATATTAGCGAGACCACTCACTGTTAGGAAGCCTGGAAACGCAGTACACAACCGTTTTATCTTAGTATAAGACTCCTCAGTGGTGTGTATCTCACAACTCCGCACATGAAAATCGAATACTGGGCCTTTGATCTCCTGTGCGAATACTCAACCTCTAGACCATTGAATGCCAATTCAATGGTATTCATGTTTCACTTCAGTCAATCCATGATGTTGCGCAACCTTCATCCATTGCCTGTCAGTCAGTCAGTCAGATGCAACGTAGAACTTCGTACGTAAGTACATCAGTTCATGTAGCTATACCAAATCAGCACAGAGAAGTAATCGTCAATTCAAATCCAATAGTAGTAGAGGTAGTAAAGGTATTAGAAGTAATCGGAGAGGTTAGGATTAGAAGATATTATTCAAGAAGTATGATTCAGTGGGAAAAGTTTAGAAAGTTAAAACTAGAGTTGTTGAAGAATTCAGAAGATTAGCATTTGAGCGAACACAGAGAATAAGTGCACTGGCGCCATTGCGAACGATTTTGAGCCATGTCATTCAAGGTCTCTAACCATCGATTATTATCATCTCGCGGACCCCAACCAGGTAGTCGACAATTACCGACATGGCTCAGTCCACTAGTCAATGACTTCATGGATTTCTGCCATGTTTTGGTTTGGCCGCCTCTAACTTTCTTCCAACCCATTCCTATTCGTTGTTTAGGCATACGCAACACATGTCCCAACCACCTCAACTGATGAAGTGTCACTACTGCGTCTATTGATCTGCCATTCTTACCTAGCACCCGATTCCTAATGACAGCGTTGCTTACTCGGGTGTCCCAGGATATACGAGCAATGCTTCGAAGACACCTATGATCGAAAACCAGTAACCGACGAGTATCTTCTACTCTCACTGGCCATGTTTCACAGCCATAAAGTAAGACGGAGCGAAGTAGTGCACGGTACACTCGTCCTTTATTCAGCAAACGGATTTCTCGCCTTCGCGATAAGTGACGCAAGTTGGCAAAAGCTAATGGAGCCTTCTGTATCGGAGCTGAGATTTCGTCAGTCACCAGGCCATCAGCACTGATGAGACTCCCAAGATAAGTGAAGTGGTCTACACGTGGTGGATAACTGTCTCCTGCCTATCTCTTATTATTTGCCCCACTTTTTTCTTCGCATACAATTATCCTGTTAAAATATCATACCTAATTAAGTTATCATAATTTTTTTAAATGAATACAGCGATTTAAAATGCGGTAATTTATTGGTCAAAGATGATGGAATTATTCAAATAGCAGATTTTGGAGTTGCTGGATTCTTGGCTACTCAACCGCTTACTGCGACAGGTAGTGTTGATCTACGACGATATACATTTGTTGGTACACCTTGTTGGATGGCTCCAGAAGTTATGCAACAAGTAAGGATACTCACTATTGTTATTGCATAATTATTATGTATTATAAAAAGTTTGTTTTAGGAGTTGATCGTGACCAATTTGGTCTCGTGTACTGGTACGGGTATGAGGACGGATGTCACTTCCCGGCTGTCCACACCGTGGAAGTATACAATAAACATAAGGACGTTCTAGTGTGACTCACTAGATCACAGTTACAAGTAATGGGGAAAAGGTGTTGAAATGTTTAGTTCCATTTTTCTTGCCTGGGTAGTTGAAGCTTAACCAATGGCCTTTTGTGAATACGAAGATCAGAATCAACCGTTCTATTTGCTGTGGTCTCCACCAATCTTAATACTATAGCACTGGAATGTGTTCACTGCGTTAACTTAGTGCTCCGAGTCTAGTAAGCATCACGCCTCCGAATTATGAGGGTTGTTTTGACCTTGAAGATGTAAAGTCTTGGGAATATGTTCAAGTTGAGGTCAGCGTCTCTGTTCCTCCGATGTCCATGTTTTTGTAGTTCTGGTTTGCGTTTGTTTTAGCAAGTTGGTTTTCTACGGGATTGGGTCGCTTACTCCATACCCAATCCTCCTCCTTTATCCAAGCTTAGGATTGGGCAGTGACTCTAGAAGTGTTCCAGGAGACGTTCCATCCTTTTGAATTTGCATATAAATTGATATTTGTAATTATAAGTGATATATTATATACCGGATATTTGTCTCCTTTGGTATTGTGAAACGGAGCATAGCGTTGTGCTTCTCGAGATTACTATTCGCATGACATTGTCTGTTATTCGTTCATAGCCATAGCTGTTTTCATTTGAGAGTGTGTGTGTGTGTGTGTGTATGCATTGCTTACTTTGCTTATCTCTGTCTGACTATAAATATACTTAGTCGGGCTTTTATCGTATACAGTTGGTCCACTCGCCTTCGTTGCTTTTACAATTAATTCTCTTTTATTGTCTGTATGTATGCTTGCCGCGAATGTATAAGATAAATTCATTTATAATAAACTAAACTGTATAGGGGGGGGGCTTTTAATCACCGTTGTCGCACAGACACACACGGTTAGTCAACGACTCATATACAGAAATTAGATGAAAGGTTTATTTTTGATAACCGAGTCAATTGTTCTCTCAAATCGTAGTCAAAGCTTAGGCCACAAAAACAAACAAAATGAATATTACAGAAGTTGTAGTTGGTTTTACAAACTCTTATGAGTCAGTAGGTTGCTGTATAATTACTGAATAATTAGATTTCTATGCAGTTGTATTCCTTTACTAATGGGATTTTTGTTGACAGTCTACCATTCACATTCTCTTCTATTCACTTGTTTTCGTATGAATGTTGTTTTTCACTGTATGATATAGTACAGCCTGCTATGTCTAGATAGATTTAAACCATGTGTCCGGTTAAAATATGTATGTATCGTAGACGCTGGGTCGCTACTTCTCGACGGAAGGCACAGGTAGGCATTGAGAGGAGCTGACAGCTATGTTTTGCGATGTAGGAATAGGTTGGACGTAAGCTAGGATAGGCCGGACCAAAACATGGCACAAATCCATGAAGTCACTGACAAGTAGACTGAGTGATGTTGGTAGATGTAGGCTACCTGATTTGGTTCCGCGAGATGATAATAATAGATGGTTAGAGACCTTGAATGACATGGCTCAAAATCGTTTGCAATGTCGCAGGTGCATTTACTCTTTGTGTTCTATAAAATTCCAACCTTCTGAATTCCTCATCACCTCTATCTTTCTCTTTCTAAATTTACCTCACTGAATTATACTTCTTGAATAACATCTTCGAACCCTAATCTCTCCGATTACTTATAATACTTTTACTACCTCCACTACTTACTATAGGATTTGAATTGACAATTATATCACTGTGCTAATGTGACATGGCGACTTGAACTGCCGTACTTACTTACAAAGTTCTACGTTGCTGTTAATGAATGATGGTGGTGAGAGGAGCTAACGAATAATGGATCAATATGAGCTCAACTTCCTGACCAAGGTGAATTGTGTTTGTTGAATTTGTGTGATTGGCCAAGTGAAAGATTCTAAGGCCACACAGTTAGTGTAAATAACAGACCAAATTAGAATTTAGATTCTGATTTGGATTCGTGATTGGGCACGTGATATATACTAGTTAGTCAACGGGATTCAAGACACGAGAACTCTATATGACTGACGACTGTTAAGAGACTCATTTGAATTTCGATAATTCATTTCGAATCAAGATAGTTTTGTTTGCTTTAGTCGGTCGGATAGGATTAACTTTTACCATGTTCAATGAATATTGTATTTAAATACCAATTCAATAGAATGATGTAATTTTTATCATTTCCAGGCTCGAGGTTACAACCAGAAAGCAGATATATGGTCATTAGGTATTACAACCATTGAAATGGCAACTGGTCAAGCGCCTTATGCGAAATTCGCCCCGATGAAGGTAAGTTTCATTGAATTTTACTTTATTTTTGCATGAGATTCTTATTATTTACCAATAAAAAAATACCATGCAGTTTTTTTTATGAATTACTAAACTGATGTGTTATAAGAGGGCGAACCCGACCGAAGCTGCTACCTTGACGTGGTGGTCGGGCTTGCCTATCGTGATGACCCAACCGAGCCATACTGGTTGGAACATATGTTCCTGAAGGTTCTATCATGCTAGGCAGGTCGATTGAAGAACGATGGGACTAAAAGCAACTACCCAAGGTCTGAAGGCGAAGTCGTACTGCCGACTGCAGAGGGGTGTGACAGCAGTAAGGTGTTTCCCTCGGACAACCAGCATCTGCAGCGATGCTGCCTTCTCACACGGAAGGAAGGGTTAGAAAAGTTTGACCCTAAAAATGCCACACCTCACCCTACCTCACGGATTTCCGTCTCCTTGGGTAAGGGTGCCCAGTAAGGGCCTTTAAGAGCGTAGCTAATCCTCAAACAACGTTTCATAAAAAGGCCGTTCTTGACCGGCCTCAAGCAGTTTTCCCTTGGCTCT